AACCCAGAATTGCAAAGCACTCTGCAACTATAAAATGTCACGGAAATGCTTAATAATAATACAATTCTCCTGGCAGTGGGCGCTATGGGAATTTAGAGGCAGATGTTTCCGTGGTCCCTGAAAGATGAAAAGCATTGTGTAGACATTAGATAACACTAACTACCATTATTACAAAAGGCACCGTGCACATGAATCACATAACTGCACAGAATAAGGCAGATTGAAACGGCTTTTGAAAGAACAACAACAAAAAGGATGAGATATATTAAGACATAGGATGAGATTGTTCACTGTTTTTTGAACCTCAGGGGACTGCAGCAGGTATATATGGCTATTTAGGTGTTCAACCATTTCTTCCCAGACTCCACAGTCATAGAACATTACATTAGAGCAGGATGAGTCTGCTGACAACATTGATTCCAAGCCACTTATTTTCCAGATGGTGAACGGGAGGCTCAGAGAAGTTCTATTTGTGAGTCAAGGGCCCAGAGTTGGCATTAAGACTCCCCTCCTAGTGGTATGGTGCTGTTGCCCCCCTCGCCCCCTCCTACTCTACTATGTTAACAAGCTTCCCAGAGTGCTGTCTTTGCCAGGGGGCCGGAGCAGGGCCAGAGGGCCTCTATGGACTCCGTAAGTGGTGAACTAGCGTGCGACTCAAGGAATGGTGGGAAGTTAAGAACACCCATGTGCCCCAGAAGCTGTGTGGACTTAATAAGCAAGGTAAACATGGGGTACTTGTGCTTACTTACTGAGGTATAGTGCACAGTTTCTTTTGTTTGTTTTGTTTTTAAAAAGGATAATATTTTATTGGGGTTTTTTTTGGCTGAAAGTTTACATAGCGAATCAGGTTTTCATTAGACTGTTTCCTGGTTTCCCAGTGGTTAGAGCACTCAGCTGCTCACTTGCCCTCCTTCCCTTCCCCCTCTCTCCACGTGGACCACCAAGCGGGGCTGAGGTGAGCATTGCTACCATGAAATGTGTCTGACTCCTTTATTTTATTATCTTTTTTATCTCTCATGCTCTCAATGACTTATATAATATTTATACATCTAAAAAAAAAGTCAGTGGTTCAAATCCACCAACCATTTGCCTCTGTCGAGATTTACAGCCTTGCCAACCCTATGGGGCAGTTCTACTTTATCCTGTAAGATCCCTGGGAGTCAGAACTGACTCAATGATCGTAGGTTTGGTTTTGTGCTTTGGCGGGACAATTTCTATACCAACTGTTCAGGAGACATGACACAGATACATTTTTCAGAGTGTGATGACATTCTCTTTAACTGCATTCCAGTTCTGCTTTCAGAACTTTAGTTTCCCTGGCCCCTTATCTTCTCATCTTTGATTTAGAGTTATTCTTACCATTATTATATTTGAAACGAGTATCATACTCTTGGGCAATATCCTTACTTTTGTGTGTCAGTCAGTTATTTGGTTAAGAGCTGACCTCAGAGGGATAGTTTTAGTTCAAGGTATGAAGAGTATATCAGGATGACAGTCTCAGGAATTCCCTAGTCTCAACTGGTCCATTAAGTATGGAATTTCAAAGAACTTGAGTTCATTTAGTGTTCTGTTCCCAGGCCATCAGGGTGTCTCAACGGTGGCAGCTGGATGCCATCTAGCTCTGCTGGTTTCAGGGCCGCGCGGCTGTGGCTTGTGTAGGCTGTCAGCTCTACAGACAAGCTTCTCCTCTTTGGGTCCTGGTTTTCCCCTTTCACTGTGCTCTTAATGAGTGGAGACCAATAATTGCATCACAGATGGCTGCTTACAAGCTTTTTCTTTTTATTTATTTTGATATTATCAAGGAGTTCATTTTACTTGGGTCCGTGATCAATGCTCCTCTTCCGTGGAGACCGGAACCAGAGAGAGCAACAGTTTCATTCTTTTGGCTTCTGCCTTTTTTCTAACCTCACAAGACCTTCCTATAGAGCCAACCCCTTTTCAAATTTACAATCCCTGATGGGGTCGGGTACTCAGTAAGCATGTTAAGCACGGGATTACTTGTGCTTATATGTACTATCGGAAGTGAACAATTTCATATGGAATTATTACAGATTAGTAAATCTGTACAAGTAAGCCTGTCCTTACCTCAATTATTGGGTAAATAGGTGTATCCTGGATTTCATATACAGAAAATCATACAAAACAAAGTACAACAAGAAAATAAAAGAAAGTTTCACTCTAAAACAAAGCAGAATATATTAGAAGCTGAAACAACTTTAAAATGAGTCAAAAGGGAGATCAAATGATAATTAATGTGTTACATTTTAATCTTACCACCTCTACCACAATCAACTTTACAATGCCCTCTGTCTGATAGGCTTAAGGCTATTTACATTCCTGGACTGTGATCACAGGGGATCACCAGAAGCTTAGTCCATGTGGGGGCCCTGCAAATGGATTTGGACTTCTGCCGTCATCCATAGCCTCTTGCAAACCCAGTGTTCACTTTAAGTTCTGATATTATTCCCTCTTTCAGATTTGGATTTTATTATTTATAATCCTTGGATCACATAGACTGGTGTGCTTCTTCTATGTGGACACTGCACTTTGATGGCTGCTGGTTCGAAGACCAGCTTTTAAGACCCCAGATGTCATTCTTTCTCAGAGTCAGTCATCACCTGGTTTCTTCACCACACTTTGCTACAGCACCCATATCTTTAGTGATCTCTTCATGAGTGCAAGTACCGAGTAGGAGCACTCACAAGACATTCTTCACTATAATCATGTTCCCTTGGTGCAAGTGCAGATTTTAGATCATTGAAAAAAGTTAAAGCCTTTTATTGCAGTAAAGTAAGTCTGAATAAGAACCATATGCACCTGTTCCAACTAACCTACAAATTTGACTTAAAGACTCACTTAGCAATGGATCTTGTTCATAACTTGTACATACCATCACTCTGCCCCTATCTTCTGTATTTTGTACATTAGCATTCAAGCATCTCACAGGTCTTCAGAAAACCCAGACATACCAACTGCTCAAGTGAAAAAAAAAAAAGTGATCCCTAACACTGGGACCCTAATAGCACAGTGGTTATGCATTGGGCTGCTATCCTCAAGGTTAGTAGTTTCGATCAGTCAATGAGAGAGTTCATCAAATAGACACTGTTCTGGAAATCCCTTTTGTTGTTATAGGCTATAAGTGTTAATGGAATCAGGGCTGAAGTGAGTCCAGGAGAAAAGTGGTGCTGATCCAAGGTCCAGGAGAGAACCCCCACTACTGCTGGAGGAGCTGTTGGCCGACCCAGGGAGGGAGAGGATGGCACGGAAGGACATGTGCACACATGCCTGGACTGGGTGCTGAGGGCAAGAATGCCTCAGTGTTGCCCTCCAATCGAGAGGTTGTGTGACAGGCTCAGAGACAGGTAGCTCTTAGTTCAAATTCAGATTCTGCTACTTGGCACCTATGTGACCCAGGGCAACTTACTTAACCGGTCTGAGCCTCAGTTTCTTCTTCATCACAGAAATAGAAATTAATTTGTAATTATTACTTTGTTATAATTATTACTTTGTAGGATTAAGTTAAGTAAGTTATTCAATACACATTAGCAGGCACTCATTGACTTGCAGGGTAATTTCTTGTCCCCTACTCAAATCTATTTGCCACTCAGGAGCCACTGAAATCTTACCTTGCCAGCTCTTTGCTTAAAACATCCCAAGGAAGGGATGAGTCAGCTAGGGTGCAGTACAGCACCAATGAAACATACAACATCCCTCTAGTTCCTTAATGCTTCCTCCCCCCCACAATCATGACCCCAGTTCTACATTACAAATTCGGCTAGACCAGAGCATGTACACTGGTACAGATATGAGCTCTCGACACAAGCAATTCAGGACAGATAAACCCCTAAGGAACCGTAATAAGAGTAGCAATATCATGGGGGTAGGGGGAAGGTGTGGTAGAAGGGGGAAAATGGGGGAACCAATTGCAATGATCGATGCATAACACCCCCCCACCCCCCCACCCCCCGCAAGGGGGATGAACAACAGAAACGTGGGTGAAGGGAGACAGCGGATGGTGTAAGATATGAAAATAATAATAATAATTTATAATTTATCAAGGGTTCTCGAGGGTGAGGGAGGGAGGGGAAAAAAGAGCTGATGATACCAAGGGCTCAAGTAGAAAGAAAATGTTTTGAAAATGATGATAGCCACAAATGTGCAAAAGTGCTTGATACAAATAATAAATGGATTGTTATAAGAGCTGTAAGAGCCCCTAATAAAATGATCAATAAAAAAACAAAAACCATTCCCATGGTTCCCCTTTTCTCTTAAGTTGATCCCCCCAAGTCCTGCATGGTCCTTACTGACCCTTCTCCTTTGCTCTCCTGACAAATGACCTTGTTTACACTCAGGGAACAATGCTCATCATTCCCATCTCAGGGTCTCTCTACAAGCTGAAAATCCTCTTTCCCCAGACCTCTTCTGCCTGCTTCACAACTTCGCATAACCTCTTAGAGGTCAACCTCCAGACGAGGCCAGGCCTCCTGACATGCTTCCTTTCCCTTTCTCAGTCCTCAGTCCGGTCTCTAATTCCACTTGTAATGGTTTGGGGTAGTAATGCCAGGAGCTAAGCAATGTGTTTTTTGGGATTACCAACAATGCCTAGGGCTCAACGCCAAGCATGATGCTTGGCACATCCTACAGCTTAACACTTTTGTTGAATAACTGAATGGCAGTTCACGGCAGGACCGGGAAGCACGAGCTAGTGAGCAGGTAAATTCTTCCCTGTAATAAATATTCTGCTCAGCATGACTTTTAATATTTTTTACCTTCGTTGCTGTATTTTTACCTTTGTCATATATAACTTTGAATGTCTCATGGTCCTCATACCATAGTGGGGCTTAAAGAAGATGCTTCAGGCGAGAGAAATGTTGAGTAGACTGGGCACTAACAGAGAGAAGAGTGAACTCCACCTTGGGGGCACATCGGGCCTTAGATGAGAATAGTTTTCCTGCCCCCCTCTGTGCTCCTTTGGAGGGATTTCAGCAGAAAACACTTACTTGTTCCCATGAAGAAATCATATGACGTTCAGCAGGCAACTTCTCTGTGATGGCCACCCCCGTCACTCCTGGGGAAGATTCTGGAGGAGGAAAAAGAGTGTGTGTAGAATTGCACTGAGGTGCGCTGGACCCAAGTCATGCTATTTTCAATCACCTCCTCTGCGTGTGAAAACTGGACATTGAATAGGGAAGACAGGAGATAAAGGGATACGTTTGAATTATGATGTTGGCAAAGAATATTGAAATTACCATGGACTTCCAGAAAGACAAACATATAGGTGTTGAAGAAGGGCAGCCAGAATGTTGCTTACAAAGAAAGAAGGTGAGGCTTTGTCTCAAGAACTTTAGTAGACATTTTGTAAGGAGAGACCAAACCCAACCCAACTCAACTCAACCCAACCCAACCCAACCCACTGTCAAGCTGATTCCGACTCACAGCAACCCTATAGGACATGGTAGAATGGCCCATGTGGGATTCCCAAACTGTAACTCATTACAGGAACAGAAAACCTCATCTTATTCCCAAGGAGCAGCTGATGGTTTCAAACTGCTGGACCTTGTCGTTTGCAGCGCAATGTGTTACCCACGATCAGTCCCTGGAAAAGGACATCATGCGTTGTGAAGTACCAGGTCAGCTAAAAAGAGGAGAGATAGATTGACAGAATGGCTGCAACAGCAGGTTCAAATATAACAATTGTGGGGGTGGTGTAGAACTGGGTAATGTTTCGTTCCATATTACACCGGGTTATGGGTCAGAACCAGCTCCGTGACACCTAAAAATAAGAGCAACAAGAGTTGCAATTTGCCTTCTCTCCTACATTTGTACACTGAAGCTGGAAACTTGTTGCTGAGACAACCCTGAAAAGCACTTATTACTGCTCGGGTGAAAGCAGCAAGAACGAGTTAGCCCTTCAGTGGTACTTGATTCCATAATTTAGGACCTAACACAAAGTGCTCTATATTCAGTTGTCATTCAATCATTTCGCTTGTTGAACAAAGAACAGAGATTCTAGAGTCCTAGTAGTTTTTACACTGAACTTCTCTGCTGAATCTGTATACTTATGACTTGGTGAAAAGTAAAAAAGGAATAGCATCTTGTTGTTGTTGTTGTTGATATTTTACAAGGCAGTCTGATTTATATATCTATATCTATATCTCTATATCTATATCTCTATATAGATATAGAGATATAGATATAGAGATATAGATATAGATATAGATATTAAAAGGTAACCCCAGGGGTGGATTTCAGTTCAAGGTTGAGAGTATCTCAGGGCAGTAGTCGGGAGTCTAATCTCAAGTGGTATAAGCCTGGATATCTTATTAGGAAGGTGAGGTTCTGGACTTATTTTTTTCCCCAGTCTTTTAGAAATCATCGATTGTGGTCCTGACCACATAGTTAGTAGTGGTTGTTGGGCACAATTTAGTTGATGTTTATATATAGAAAGAGCTCAATGGATCCCATGCACTCAGGACCCTGATTTAACAACTGTAATATTCTCTTCTTGTCTCATCTAGCCCTACTGTTTGTGTGTTTGTTTTTAATCATTTTATTGGGGGCTTGTTCAACTCTTAGCACAATCCATATACACATCCATTGAGGAATAGTATCTGTTACAGACATGAAACTGGCTTTCTTTTTTTTTTCTAAACGGCATTCTTCATGACTATATGCTCTAAGATTCTCAGAATTTTACTTCAGGCTAATGTGGAAGATGGATTCCATCCAAAACATCAAAATCAAATCAAACTATGTTTCTAATTGCCACTCAAAACAGGTGTGGATTCCAGGTAATCTGGTCTTTCCTTAAGGAGTTGTGTTCCATTATTTACTCTGAGGTAAACAAGAATCCAGTTGAGGGTTAATACAACATGTGTCAATACTTCCTCCCACATTCTCCATTTGTCTGTGGTTACCTGGATCCAAGATTTTGAAATCCTTAATATAAGGCTTAGAATTGTCATAAAAGTCCATCTACTCTACCCCTTTGACACATCACTAATTTTATTTCCATTGCCATTACTATATTCTAAGCCACAATCAACGGAAAGCTTAGATGAAATCATAGCCATAAATCCTTCTTGCTTTGATCCATCCTTAGCAAATTTCCCCCCTACTTAAGCTTTCTTATCAGACCTTGCCTAGTCCTCACTTTGTTCTGCAAATAAAGGCCCTTATTATGCCTATTTGGTTTTATTTCCTTCCACCTCATAGCCTAAGCTCACGCTTCAAGGTGTCAGTTTCCTCCCTATCTCCATGCCTCCATGCCCCATAAAACCAAGTCTGTACTCACCTTCAATTATGCTGTATCTAAGAATCAGAGACCTCTGATATGGTTCACTGATTGTATGCATCATAAAATTTCCTCCAAATCAGCTCAGATTTTGGAATGAGCAACAGCTCCAAAATGGGAGGTCGGACTTCTGTATTCTACTCATTTTAGTCTTGCTTTAGGGATTCACTTGCTATGTGACCTTGGGTAGGTCTTAATGCCCCTTTCCCTTCAGTGAGACAGGGATAATAATAGTAATACATACTTTGCTAAAGGAAAGGCACATGGCACATTTGTTGAGGATGTTTGCTTCTAGGGCGTATAGAGCTGTAATTCTCTATTTCGCGAATGCCTTGGGCTCGTTTTGGTCTCAGGGTTAGGCTCACTTTATAAAATGAGTTTGCTGTCCTTTTCTACATTCTAGAATAGTTTGCCTTCTAGTCGTGTTTTGTGGTTTTCTTTCTATAAGTCTTTTGTTAGGTTTATTTCTAAGTATTTAATCTTTTATGTGGCTCTTGTAAACGTATTGTTTTCTTGATTTCTTTTATAGGGCTCTCTTCCTTGTATACAGGAATTTCCCTTGTATTCTAATTTTGCTGAGAGTTATGAAGTCTTTTCTGACATATGATATAATGTAGTTTTCCCTTTTGTTTTATTTACATGGTGGATTATATTGGTTGTTTTTCTAACGTTGAACCATCCTTCCCTACCTGGTATGAGTGATCATGATATATTCCTTTTGTGAATTTTTGGGGGATTCTATTGGGTAGGATTTTGTTGAGGATCTTTACATCTGTGTTCATAGCAGATTCTGACCTGTAATTTCCTATCTTGGTAATATCTTTGCCTGTTTTTTATTGGGGTTATGCTTGCTTCTGGAATAGTTTGAGTAGAATTATATCAATTTTTCTATTTTGGTATATAATTCCCTGGTTAAGGTGATTTTTTAATGACCTGATCTATTTCATCTTTTGTTTTGGGTCTGTTGAGGTTTCTAAATCAGTCTATGTTACTTTAGGTAAATAGTGGGTTTCTAGAAATTTGTTGATTTCTTCAAGGTTATCAAATTTGTCAAAGTGGTCCACCATAATTTTGTTATCCTTTTTATTTTACTCGGTTCAATTGTGACGTCATTCAATTTCCTTTTTGTTGTGTTATGGAGCAGTATGTTAAAAGGATACTATGTCATATACCTTTTCTGATTTGAAAGCATTCAGTACCCATCTTGTTTTGCTTGCTTGCATCTTGGCCTATGTACAAGTTCTGCAGGAGCACAATTACGGGTTCTGGAATTCACATTCTTCACAATGTTATCCATAATTGTTATGATCCACACAGTTGAATGCCACTGCATACTCATAAAACACAGGTACACATCTTTCTGATATCAATAATAATCTCTCATTTTATGTCGTATGCGGAATCTGGCTTGAATTTCTGGCAGTTCCTTGTGGATGTACTGTTACAACCATTTTTTAAAATTATCTTCCGCAAAATACTACTTGTGTGTGATATTACTGGTATTGTTCAATAATTTCTGCATTTGGTAGATCATTTTTCTTTGGAAAAGGCATGAATTTGGATTTTTTCTGTTTGTCAGGTAGCTGTCTTCCAAAAATCTTTGCATTCATAGGTGAGTACTTCCAGCATTGTGTCTGTTTGCTGAACTCTTTCACTGGTATTCTGTCAGTTCCTGGAGTCTTGGTTTACACCATTGGCTTAGTGTAGTTCAGACTTCTTCCTGCAAGACCGTGAGTTAGTTCTTGATCACATGTTACTCTTGAAATGGCCGAGTAGCAATTCTTGATACAGTGACTTTGTGTATTCTTCCCAACTTTGGATGCTTCCTGTGTGGTTCAATATTTTGGCTCTAGAATCCTTCAACCTTGGGCCTTGAATTTGTTCATTGGTTCTTTGAGTTTAAGAAAGGTCAGTTCATGATCTTTCTTTTTGGTTTTCTAACTCTGGGTTATTACATATCTACTTCCTTGCTAGGGTATATATTTGTGTATAAACTGAGTTTTTCAGCACATTTAAAAAAATTATTTTATTGGGGGCTCATACAACTCTTATCACAATCCATACATATATCCATTGTTCAGCACATTTTTATGCAGTTTTTATGGTAAAATTAGGTGCCTTGGCTGATATCCGGGTCGGCTTATACTCGAGTATACACAGTACTTTGTCTCCTCCAACTGCTTTTTGAAATCGTCTGTCTTGCCTGTTTATTTCATTTCTTCCTTTGGTTTATGTTTCTGTGTTCAAGAGTAAGTTTCAGAATCTCTTCTGACAGCCAAACTGGTCTTTCTTTTTACTGATAATTATAGCTTTATGATCTTTGATGTCCTTGATGCTGCACCTCCTCATCCTGTAACTCATTTGGTCTGTGGCTAGTAATATTCAAATCTCTTCTTCTGAGGATCTCTGAATTCAGGTGGGATATACTCAAGGTCAGATCTTGGCTGTCATCATTTTTTTTTTTTACATTCTTCATCCTGAACTTGAATTTGCATATGAGCAATTGATCATCTTTACCCAGTTGGCTGTGGGTCTTGTTCTTACTGATGATACTGGGTATCCACAGCATATCTCTCCATAGATGTAGTCAATTTAGTTTGTGTATATTCCATCCTGGAAGATTACATGTATAAATAATTGGCTTTTATGTTATTGGAAAAAGGTATTCGCAATAAATAAGTGGTTGATTTTATAACTTCTATTATGCAATCTCTGGAGTCATCTATATCACCAATGCATACTTTCCAATTGTGATTCCATTTGAATCACAAGTAATTATTAATATTCAATCAATTTCAGAAGGTAGAAATTAGTCATTGTCTTCATCTTTGCAATAGTGGTGGGCACATACATTTGAATAATAGTCATATTAACTGGTTTTGCTGGTAGTAGAGGTATGGATATGAGATTATCATTGACAGCATTGTACTTTTGGGTAGATCTTAAAATGTTCCTTTTCATGATGAACACAACACCATTCTGCTTCAGTTTGTCATTCTGGGCATATCAGACCAAGTTGTCCACGTCAACATGACAAATTTCAATTTCAGCTCACTATTGCCTTGCATATCAATATTTATCCATCCCATTTCATGTTTTATAACTTCCAATTTTCCTAGATTTATATATAATACAATTCATATTCTGAGTAGTGGATATTTGTAGCTGTTTCTTCTAATTTTGAGTCATGTCACATCAGCAAATGAAGGTCCTCAATGTCAAAATATTAAGGTTCATAGGAGCCAGAATATGACCTTGAGTTTACCCCACCTGAAGTCCAAGATCTCAAGAACAGATTTGCTGCACTGAAGAAGACCTTATAAGCTGTAGCAGGCTACAAGAACATCGTACATAAATAAAGCAAAAGGCCATTAAAAGACAGTAAAGAAAGAAAAGATTAAAGTGGATGTCAGAAGAGACTCAAATTTGCCCTCAATCATAAAATAGCTAAGGCACATGGAAGAAATGATGAAGTCAAAGAGCTGAACAGAAAATTTCAGAAGGCAGCTGAAGAAGACAAAGTAAAATACTGCAACAAAATGTGCAAAGATCTAGAGTTAGAAAAACAAAAAGGAAGAACACGCTCAACAAATCAAACTCAAAGAATGCAAGAAACAGTTCAAGCCTTGAGTTGCAATCTCGAAAAATTCCATGCAGAAAACATTGATGTAGGAAGAACCAAAAGAAGATGAGAAGAACACATAGTCACGTGTCAAAAGAACTGGTTGACAATCCGCCATGTAAAAAGTAAGCATGTGAGCAAGAACGAATGGGACTGAGGAAGAAGTTCAAGCTGTACTGAAAGCATTAGCCATGAATTGATGAAATACCAAATGAAATGTCTCAACAAGCTGATGAAGCACTCATTGTGGCTATGCCAAGAAATTTGGAAGACGGCTACTTGGTCAACTGGCTGGAAGAGAGCCATATTGTGTCCATTCCAAAGAAAGGTGGCCCAGCAGAATGCTCAAATTCCAGAACAATATCGTGAATATCATATACAAGTAAAATTTTGCTGAAGATCATCCAACAATGGTTGCGGCAGTAGATTGACAGGATGCTCCAAGAGGTTCAGGCCAGATTCAAAAGAGGATGAGGAACAAGGGATGTCATTGCTGATGACAGATAGATCTTGGCTGAAAGCAGAGAATACAAGAAAGATGCTTGCTTGTGTTTTATTGACTATACCAAGACATTCTACTGTATGGGCCACAACAAACCATAGCCTTGAGAAGAATGGGAATTCCAGAACACCTAACTGTTTGTACAGAACCTGTGGATCAATCAAGAGGCAGCTGTGTGAACAGAACAAGGGAAGGCTACATGGTATAAAACCAGGACGGTGTGCCTTAGGGTTTTATCTTCTCACCATACTTATTCAATCTGCTGAGCAAATCTTCAGAGAAGCTGCATTATATGAAGAATGTGGCCTCAAGGGTGGAGGAAGGCTTATGAACAACCTGCGATATGCAAATAACACAATTTTGCTTGCTGAAAGTGAGGAGGACTTGAAGCACTTGCTGATGAAGATCAAGGATTGTAGCCTTCAGTATGGATTACAGCTCCATGTAAAGAAGACCAGAACCTTACAACTGGATCAATGGATAACATTATCAAGGATGGGGAAAGGCTTGAAATTCAAAGCTTTCTTTTTTTTTTTTTTTTAAAGCTTTCATCTTGCATGGATCCACAATCCATGCTCACAGAAACATCAGTCAAGTGATCAAACAACACACCGCATTAGGCAAAGCTGCAGCACAAGACCTCTTTAAAGTATTGAAAAGCAAGGTTGCTTTGAGGCCGAAGGGGCACTTGACCCAACTCATAGGGTTTTTAATCACCTTATATGCACGTGAAATGTGGTCATCAAATAAGAACTGAGACGTTTGAATTATGGTGCCGGCTAAGAATATCTAGAATACCACAGACTGCTGAAAGAGTAAACAAATCTGTCTTGGAAAAAAGAATGTCCAGAATGTTCCCAAGAAGCAAGGATGGTGAGACTTTGTTACAAGTACTTTGGACGTGTTGCCAGGAGAGACCAGTCCCTGGAGAAGGATGTCATTCTTGGTAAAGTAAGGGGCAGCAAAAAAGAGGAAGACAAAATGGCCTGGCACAGTGGCTGCAACAATGGGCTCAAACAATAATTGCGAGGATGGCACAAGACTGCGTGGCATTTTGTTCTGTTGTGCATAGGATGCTATGAGTTGGAAGTAACTCGATGACACCTAAAAACAACAGCAACCCCAAGGTCAGCAGCTCAGATTCAGCGGTTGATCAGCAAGAGAAAGATGATGCAGTAGGCCGTGGTAAAGATTTGGAATCGCAGAAACCCAAGCAAGTGGTTCTACTCTGTCCTACAAGGTCACCTTTGCATCAACTCAGTGGCAGTGGGTTGGGTTTTTGCTTTGTTCCTCTGAGGTTATGACACTTAATCAAAGATCTGAATAATGTCACACACACACACAAATACACACACACATTCAAGGGTCCAGGAGAAGTTAATTTCAGGAAAGATAAATTAGAATAGAGATCAGTAAACTGCGGCTCTCGAGCTGTATGCAGCTTTTCCGGTACATACATGTGGCTCTGAAGTAAAATTGAAAACATTTAAAGGACATTATTCAGATAGTGATGATTTCTTTTATTTGTAAAAACATATGTATGGCTCTCAAATAATTTTCACGTCGTTGAGCGGGGCAGGATTGGCTCTTACGTCTCACAAGTTGTCAGCCGCTGACCTGGAAACTTGCAAAGGCCTTCGAGCCAAGTGAAAAGAGGGTCAGAAACACAGGTGAAGGCACCTCATAGAGGGAGTTGTGAGCTAGGGCACAGAATTTGAATTTTACCATAAATGTTGGAAAGACATCCTTTCTGGCCTGCTTACACTGCCACTGCTGCGGGCTTCTGTTTACCAGGGTAATCCCTATTTGGCTTTCAAAAGCTAGTATCTTTCCTCTGGGAAACCTTTGATTCCTCAGGTAAGATCAATCACGATCAATCCTCTTTTCTGTGAAACCTTTTAAAGTAACAGATGAATGGTCTCCTTTCTCGGAGCCCTGGTGCCAAAGAGGTTACTGCACTGGGCTGCTAACCGCAAGGTCATCAGTTTGAAACCACCAGCCAATCCGGAGAGAGTCAAGGTTTTCTACTTCCTAAAGAGTTACAATCTTGGAAACCCACAGGGGAAATTCTTGTCTTAAGGGTCATGATGAGTCGGAATAAGGTCAATGGCAGTGAGTTTGGATTTGTGGCCTCCTTTCACACGTTGTGAGTTGCCGTTGTGTTGATTCTGATTCAAGTGGACCCATCGCGTGTCAGGTACTTCATCTGGGTTTCAGGGCTAGAACCTTTCAGGAGCAGACAGCCAAGCCTGTCTTTCGAGGTGCCCGTGGGACTCTGCACCACCTTCCCCCTGCCCATTGCTATGGAGCCCATACTGACCCATTAGGACAGGGTAGAACGGCTCCTTAGGGTTCCCACGGCTGTAAATCTCTGTGGAAGCAGACGGTCGCATCTTTTTCCCTGCTGGTGGGCTTAACTGCTGAGCTTTATGTTAGCAGCCCACTGTGCACAAGGCACCTAACTGCCGCCGTTATAGGAACCTAGCATTTTCGCTTACTCACATGCGCTAACCAAACGTTCCAGAAAGGGAAGACAACAGCCCAATCTGTGGTGCCAACCTTGGCTCTTGTGGATCAGGTCAGGGGCGGTGCACGGAGGCCCGTGGCAGGTGCTGACCTGGGAAGCTAGCTAGCAACACCGTTTCCCTGAGGCAGGGCCGGGGTTTCCAGGATAAGCCTCTCCGGAGACCCCACCTCCCATCTGTCAGGGTCTGCAGTCTCTCCTTGGCATGGGTTCGCCCATCCTTCCTGGGCCCCGTCGTGGGACCTCGAGAAGGGCCTTTGGGCTTCCCAGTTCTTCCCGAGTAACCCCAGCAAACTCTTCTGGGGCCGTGTGCCTCGCGCACCCGGCTGCTCCCGTGTCCTAACAACGGAAGTCACCTTAGCGATGGCCACTCGTCTGTACCGTCCAGCACTGTGCCGCTCCCCCCGCTCCCGTCTTCGCCTCCATCACGTCGGCTCCGGCAAGCCGCCCCGCCCCACTCACCTAGGATGCGGGTGATGCCGAGGGTCAGCTTCTCCAGGTGCGGCTTGGGCGACTTCTCGTCCATGGCTCGTGCCCCCGTGCCGCGCGCGGCCAGGAGAGCGGCGGGCAGCGGCGGGGAGAGCCGGGCGGGCCCCCGCCTCGGGGCCTCGGCCGTCAACTTCGCGGCATGCCGGGAGCTGTAGTTCTCGGCGCCTGCGAGCGCGGCG